CATTGCCACAAGCTGCATGGGAAGTGTGTCTTCCACATGCACTAGGCTGTTGTGTTTGGGCGTTTGAATCAAACATGGTGCTGGTGTGTTTCAGCATCCTTGTTTTTCGCTATTTTTAACAATGTTTCATTTCACTCAAACTCAACGAATACTGAATCAGTTGCTTCACTGAATGTTCCAACATGTCGTTTAAAGTGCCTATTAAGCACACAAAAAGTTGCATTTACCTTAGAATATAAATGACCCCCACCACGTTTCAGTTTATATAGGACTATCAAATTTTAGGGTGTTCCCATATTTTTTTTTTGTAGTATATCTCAGACACTAGCGCTTTTGAGCAGCTATCGCGAACAAACTCATTTCTGCCCTATCACTTAGCCATAGTGGCCAGAGCTAAAGGGTGGCGAAGACAGGAGTCAGTAAGGTGCTATGATATTGAGATTAATTTTAGCTGCAGATATGTGTGGTTGAATTCTGATTCCAAGTGGTGGAACCAGCCAGGCTTGGCAGTTTGGGAAACATGTTTTCATGGAGAGGGTTGAAAACACAATTGTATGCTGGATTGGACTGATTTGAACGTAATTTAGTGATATATTAACCAAAAGACCAACACATTCAAGGCTGCAAGGGTCTTCAAAATTTGGAATGCGTTTCAATGGTGCGGCTGGGATATTTTTATTTGATTTGCCAACTAAATCCACATAGCGGAAGTATTGTTGATTGCCGCGTTAAACGGCAAACCAACCATCCCTGAACTGTCATTGAGTCATAGGAACAGAGGGACTATGACAGAGCTGCCACCGAATAGCCGTTTCCTGTATGTTGAGCAGCACCCGTCTCTCCAAACTAGAGCATTTTGCAACAAATATAACCAACACCCATCAGACCAAAGGATCCCTCATTATCTCAAATTCATGGCGCTTCTTCTTGGCACTTTTCTTTCATGAACGTCCAGATCTCGGCAAATCCTTTAATTGTCCAGTCATGTTGTGTTTACACATAAGCTGATTACACTGTGATTAATGCACAACAATGATCCAAGTGCCTTCATGGAATCCCAGTTGATGCATACCAATGATCCGCCATCTTATATTTTCATGTATGTGATGCTTTGGCATTTCACTGCTACAGTTGCAAAGTAATATCCTCAGATCGATAGCACATTCAATCAACATCAGTGGCAGTACCTATACCAAACATATTATGATCAAACTTAATTTTCACAGCGAGATGCAAGCTGTGACGGTTAAGGTACCTACCATTCTGTATGCAAATTGTGTGGCCATACACAGAATGTCCCATGTAGGACTATGTGCCACATGGTTTTGCAATTTCACAATAAACTTGGAATTCAAATACTACTGATGAGGTGAAGTGTCACAGTATACTGTAAATATCCTCTTTTCCCTCATGAGTTCATGTCTTTTCATATTTGCTGTGTGTGTACAGTATGACATCTGATATGAGGACAATGAAGTATATGAATGTGACATTTTCAGTAATATGCAAAGAATCTCAGTTATTTTCATCGACTGTCAAATTTCACAATCATTAAAATATAAACCAGTATTTTCACCTGTGTGCATGCTTGCATAAAACAAATGTAAATAAAATAAATTAATACCTTTCACTTTGCAACATCAAGTTTTACACTGCTTTTATTCCAGCAATATCATGACAGGGGGATACCAGAAATGGGCTTCACCTTTGTGATTTTGACTTTTTATTGTCCTACAACCTTAAATATTCCACAAACTTGCAATCAACTGGGTCACTGATATTTGCCATGTTTGGAGCTGTGCTGTATATATGCATTAATGTGTTTTCAAACTTGTGTGCCACTAAACCGCTTATATAGTTTCTACGGTTTCACGTTCTTTCAAATATGGAAATTCAACATTTAAAATTTCAGAAATTAGAAAGACATAGTCTTGTTTGTTTTAATTCTTAGTTTTATCGAACTGTTTTGTACATACACAATCGCTGTTGTGACATGCAAGAAGATCACCTATCTGAAAACTGTATTTTCATTTGTTGCTTTGCAACATATTTTTCAAACTTCTAAGTAATGAATAACATATTGTATTAGACAAACTTAATCAAGTTGTCTCTTCATATTAATGTGAAAAATGTCTACCATTTCAGGAACCAAACACTTCGTGCAGATCTCCAGTATGTCCCAGTTTGAATTAATAGCATGACATTTCTAGTGTCTTCCAGCCAATATGTTTTAATCCAAACTTTGGTCTCTGAAATTCAAAAACAAATGATGCAGGGTTGTGATTCACATTCAAAAAGAAAGTGAGTGAGTGAGTTGGGTTTTATGCTGCTTTTAGCAATATTCCGGCAACATCATGGTTGGGAACAGCATACATTGGCTTCGCACATTGTACCCACGTGGGGAATCAAACCCGTGTATTCAGCATCACGAGCGAAAGCTTTAACCACAAGGCTACCCCACTGCCCCTCAAAAAGGACCTTTAACAAATGAAATATATGTGCTCTATCTACAGGCTGATAAGGGACTGTTCATAATTTATGGCCAGGGGATGATGATGATGATTTTTATGGAGAAGCATGTACAGTGTGAAGGACATGTCTGAAAATCACATTAAGATTCAGTTCAAGTGCATGAATAGGTTGGTACAACCTTCGCAGAATTTTGATAGGTTATAGATTTACACCTTTAAGTGAGTGAGTGAGTTGGGTTTTATGCCGCTTTTAGCAATATTCCAGCAATATCACGCCTGAGGACATCAGAAACGGGCTCCACAAATTGTACCCATGTGGGCAATCGAACCCGGGCCTTCGGCGTGAAGAGCGAATGCTTTAACCACCATGCTACCCCACCAGCCCTTTACACCTTTAATGATAATATGCTTTTTAGAACAGACAGAAGAACATAAACAAGAAGACAAAGTCATCAATATCCCCCGCATTGGTAAAATACTCTTCATGAATATGTCAACTAGTTATGCCTATGTCAAATGTTACATTGTTCTTCACATTGATGTAACAAAAACATACATATGTAAACTATTCATATACTAGCATGCTTGTCTCAACAACAGACTGCCTGAGTGCTTCCACGGTTTGATGTACCTTAGTAATGCTGATACAGAAATAGGTAGGTGCTGTTGACATAAGTGATTAGGTTCTTGAATACCCACAAAGTGGAAATAGAGAATTGAAAGGTTTTAAACTTAAAGTTTTGCTCAGGAAAGTAGCACTACCACCAATTTCAGTCAATGTAAAACTTGTAGCCATGGAAATGTGCCAAGTCTGGTGAAGAAACATTGAACGGTTTTAGAGTTCTGCTCCGGAAAAGAGCACTAGCACCAATTTCAGTCGAAGTCAAATTTGTTGCCATGGACACACAAAAAAACAAGTGTTTGTCACTGATATGGCAATGTCCCCCGCCGCTAAAGAATGGAATATTTATAACCCCTTTTACTACTTTTTATTTTTTGGGTCACATACAAGATGCCTGAAATGACTGGTGTCTGCATAATCCCCCAATGTAGGCTGTCGACATAAATGAAGACATTGGGTGCAATGTTTTATGAGATATCGCATTAACAAGAGTTTGAAAAGTATTCAAAGTGTCGTGGTGACCTTGAAGATAAGGTCAACGTCACCAAAATCGACTGGTGTCTGGGTAATTCCCCAATGTAGGCTGTCACCAAATTTGAAGATATTGGGTACAACAGTTCATGAGATATCATGTTAACATGAGTTTCAAAAGTGGTCAAAGTGTCCTGGTGACTTTTAAGATAAGGTCAAGGTCACCTAAATCAACTGGTGTCTGGGTAATCACCCAATGTAGGCTGTCACAAAATTTGAAGACATTGGGTACAACAGTTCATGAGATATCGTAACAAGAATCAGGACGTATGTACGTACAGACGCCACTGAATACAGTCCCCCGTTCCGCGTTGCGGCAGTGGACAAATGTTTTGTTCACAAATCCAAAACTACCAAAAGGCACTAGTTCACCACCAGACCTATCTATGTGCAAAGTTTGGTGTAGAAATATATAACGGTTATTATGTTCTGCTCTGGAAAAGACGGACAGACGGAGTTCAAGATATACCCCGTAAATCGTATTGTGGGGGATAATAAAGTTAAATTACATTTGGTCCAGTGCATCAATATTGAAGACTGAAACAAAAACACAGCAAAAACAAACCAGGGACTCAATGTCTGTTAGCTAATTACAGACAGATAAACATTCAAGTTTACATGTAAGCCAGTGCCATAGTCAGTTGCACCTTTGCCATCAGTAGATTTTGGCTGTGCCCCCTAAGAGCGTCAGAAGCCAATTATTGAGTGTGTGATTTTGACACTTTCACCATGTCCACCTGGAAACTTAAAAAATTCTGCAATTGTTTTGACAACTTTGACAACATGCAAACCTTTAACAGACTAGTGTAAGGATGGTAAATTGTAAGGTTTCTATTTTGTATATCCAATACTTTCAGCAAAGATGTTGAGTGAGTGAGTTTAGTGCTGCTTTCTATACTATTACAATAGTATGCTTAATTGGTGCTCAAAATGCTCATTTTGGTGAAACTTAAGCAGCAGCATGTTAAGAGCATGGATATGGCGGTGAAAAACCAAGAAACACTATTGGGGCACACCAGGATTTTAACCCATGATTATGTTTTTCAGGCATGCCCAAAAGATGCAACTTTGCACAACAAATTGTACCTCCAGTGCACCTTAGGAGTTGTTGAAAATGGTTAAGTATTGGACAAATTTAAACCAGACCACCTTTAACTGAACACAAATTTCAAGGGAGGTGAGAAATGGTGTTAAATGTCCTTTTCAGGCTTACTGCACTTACGTAGCGGCACATTGCTGGGTAAGAACAAGCACCATCTCCAAACATCTCCTGGTTTGTTGTTTCCCTGGATCAAACCCCTAACCTTCTGTTGTCCAGTCAGATCTCTATCCATGGCATGGAGGTAGTGTCTGGGACATAAATAATCAAACAAATCTGTGAAATAAATCTTTATTTTCTACATATTCTTGATCAAAGCTTCAACAATTGACAGTAAGCCTTCATACCATGATAGAAGATTTTCACTATTTCTCTTCACTATTCTGAGACCAGTCAACTCCAGGACGACTTGTTCTTTGATTAAGTGGCACTGACCTACATCCTGGTGAACTCTTCCTTGCTAAAGTAGCACTCAATTTAACTTTCCCATCCATCACTTTAGATGACCTGGCAGTGGCTACTGACTGAACACCTACATTATTAACATCCTCTGAGTAATTGGTGTCTGGTGCTTGACAAATTGTAATATCCCCAGTGCTCTTCCTCCTACCAGTGCCAGCTCTTGGTGACCTTCTTATCAAAGCAAACATTTCTTTAACTGACATAGGTTCAGAAGCTCTTGGCCATGGAGCCAAGAAATCTTGACTTTTCATATCTGGTGCAGATGTTTTCCTTTGTTCGTGTTGGAAGTTTGACTTCGCACATGATTTTTCACGCCTGGAATGAGAACAAGAAAAGTTTGAATCCAAAGGGACTTTTCTCCTTCCTTTGGAAACAAACACTTTCTCACAATTTTCATTCAATGCTTCAAAAGATTCAGAGTCTGATTTTATTGCAACTGCTTCATTTTCACTACATTCCATAACTGAGTGCTGCTGAGAAGCTGAAGATTCTCTGTTGCTATTTATGTTGATTCCTTCTGTCTCCATCTCAGACTGCTTTGATGTGAATCGAGATGACCGCATACTGTAACCCATACATTTGCTACCTTCGGATGTATCTTTGTCACTGTCTTCTCTTTGTGATTCCCCTTGATCATTGTCTTTACCTTCAATATGCAGGTAGGGTTTGGGATAGTAACCTTTACGAGTGAAAAGAGTTGTCATATTGTCGCATTTCTGATATGGCCTTGTGTCAAAATTGCGAGGTGAGTTACGGGTGGAAATATTGAACTTCCGAGCAGGATCAGGATCCTTCTCTTTTGACTTATCTTGTTTGGTTTTCTTAGTTTGGGTAGCATCAGTAAGTTGTTTATCTATTGTCTGTTTCTCATTTAAGGAATGCAATTTTGGTTGAGTCTGAATTCTTGAGGTTTCCCTATTGAGGTCAACAATGAGGCTCTCTACTGATGAAAGACGATATTTTTCAGAATGTGTTCTCATGATGTGTGTATTGCACTCAGATTTGTTATAACTGCTGAAGCGACACAATTTGCACTTGAATCTTTTCCAACCAAGGTGTCTAATAGCATGCCGACGGAGATTAGACACACTGGTGAATTCTTGTCCACATTTCTGACACTTAAGCTCTGCTTCATCAATTATCGCAGAGAGCTTTTCAGAATCCAAACAATGAAGTTTATTGTCATTATCTGATTCCTTCACAAAGACACGATTAGACTTCACCTGCAAATAAGATATATAAATATGAGGAGAATAGCCTTATGAAAAATTAACAAGAATAAAATACTCATATGATCCCTGGCTAAGGCATGTTCAGCTGTGCAGCAAAAAAGTGTGAGCTATACAAGACATTTCTTAAATACACTGTTTGTGTGTATCTTGCATGTAGCTTGTGAAATCTCAGTAGGGTCAGACCCGTGAAGATCCGGGGTAGAATAGGTCTTCAGCAACCCATGTGCTTGCCATAAAAAGGCGACTATCTTGTCGTAAGAGGCGACTAACGGGATTGGGTGGTCAGTTTCGCTGACTTGGTTGACACATGTCATCGGTTCCCAATTGCGCAGATCGATGCTCATGCTGTTGATCACTGGATTGTCTGGTCCAGACTCGATTATTTACAGACCGCCGCCATATAGCTGGAATATTGCTGAGTGCGGCGTAAAACTAAACTCACTCACTCACTCACTCAGTAGGGTCGTGTTAGTGTGGGAACAGCATGTTGGAGCAAATCAAACTGTTTATCATTTGTTTTCACACCAACGTGCGTATTAACGTAGGGGGCAGACACGTCACTGGAAAAGCCTGTCAGTTAGCCCTGAACAAGGACTGTTAAATTAGGTCACTGACACTCGCTTTTACGTTTGTTTTCTGCCTAGATTAATTAATTTTGGCATCTTAGAAAAGAAATACAGCTCGCTCAACTCCCATGTACAGTGTAAAGTCTTCGTACCTTAACTATAATAGTTCAGGTTAACAGTACTTTATTACACTATACTTGGGTGCAGAGCGAACTGTATTTCATAAACAGTGACTAGGTCACTTACATAAAATATATATTGTACCAACAGTACACAGTCAGGCGCGTAGCACGCCAATATTTTCGTGTAAGCCTGATAGGTTACAAAGCTATACATTTAGATAGTATTGAGACCTTGCAAACTTCCATTTTCAAAATCATCTGTAAGCCCGGGCTATTTTTCGTAATGGTAGCTACGCCCGACAGTCCCTCTATCAGAGGCAGATACAAACTTGAGATCTTCAGCAATACCACAAATGGGCCTGAAATGTTCTGTACATGTATATCAATACTGTCACATTCAGCTCAGTTACACTATGTTTTGCAATGGAGTGTGCACTGAAAAAATGTGGGCAAAGTTTATCAAGTGTAAAACATTTTCTTAAAGCACCATTCAAAATTACAGCTAACAACAGACCAACCAATTATGACATAAACTCCCTTATTTCAAACAGGTGAGCCAGAACTCAAAGTACCCTTATTTGACAAATATCCATACAAACCTTTTCTGAAGGTCTTCCAGGTTGTTTGTGTATCCATATCTCTTCAACTACATGCAATTTCTTGTCAGGTTTGGTGGCTTCCTGCCTTTTCCTCTTTGTCACCAAGTGCTGCTGAATGCTTCCAGTTAGTGTCTCTTCCTGACTCTTTTGAAGGAGTTTATTCTTGTTTACTCCTGCCTTGACTCCCTCAGTTTGATACAAACGATTGCTTTTGCTAGATTTACCATCTTTGTTGTCTGTAATTAAACTATCAATAGCATGGCAATTGGGTTTTGACATTGTTGATTCATTCCAACATGAACGCTTATGATTCTCCAGGCTCACCTTTTTATGAAATGTCCTCTCACAGATCATGCAGCTGAATGAGGGAGATACTTTTGGTGAGATATGGCCAGCTCCATCAGCCTTGTTTGAACTTGTTTCAGGAACATTAGAACCTGTAGTAAGTTTGTATTGACACAACAGACGATGTCTTTCAAGGTTACTTTTTCTTAAAAACGACTTATTGCAGAGAGAACAGAGGTTTTGTTTTGAAACCTTAGCCTGTGAACAGTATTTTTTTATGATTGGTAAGGCGACCTTTCTTCCAGAACACTTTGTCACACCTGTCGCAGGACAACTGATGAATGTACTTTTGTACTGTTTTCACCTTCTCCTTTTTAGGCACATCTAGTGTGGGAACATGCCGTCTGGCAAACGTGTGCTTAACATATTTGGAAGTATGCTTCACAGTGGCTGCTGAGCAATGCTCTCTTGTGGGACATGAAACATTTCTCCCTCGTTTCTCCTTGGCATTTGTTTTCCCATCCATACATTCCTCCATAATCACATTTTCTGATGTACTGCATCCTTTTCTTCTACATCTGTGGTAAATTCAAGTTGATCCTTTGCCTGAATGCACGTCTTGGTTACATTTTTGGTGAATGCAGATTCTCGCAAGATTGTTCTCATCTTATTTATCTGATTTTGTGTCTTCTTGTGGTTTACGCGCAAATGTCTTGTCAAACCCCAGAAGTAGAAGAACACATTTGAGCAATATGGACAAGGAAAGAAAGTGCGCAAACCAGAGTGACGTTTTTGTATGTGATACTTTAATGTTTTGCTGGAGGAGTATGTCACATTGCATTGAAGACACTTGAGTAATGAGACATTAAATGTATTGCAAAGATTTGTTTCTCCTTTCTCTAATTTCCTTTCTCTCAATATTATCTTTTCAGAATTATTGAGTGGTGTAGATTGTTTGGATTTATTTTCCTCTGCTTGTGGTGTATCCACCGGATTTGGCAAAATGCCTGATGGAAGGGGAGTTGTTGGCTGTATAGAATCACACATGTCTTTATTCAAATCAGACTGAATCATCACTGATGCATTACCCATCACGTTTGACTTGCCTACACACGTTGCAGGTGAAGATGACTGATTGTCATTTCCAAAATCTGTTAGGGCTCGCATTTCTGGCTTTGAAATAGCAGCTTCCATGTTTTGAGTGGGCTCTTGTACATTGCAAAGACTTTGCTTGGAGGCCTCATCACTGTCTTCACAAGATACTCTCACAGCATTGGAATTTGATGCAATTTGAGAAAGAACAACACTGAGGGTTTTTTTCTGTTTCTTTGGTCGATCAACCTTTTCTGCAGCTTTAGAATATAGTCTATACATTTCTGACTTTCCCAGAAGCCCACAATTTATCTGAGTAATGGTATCTCTCACTCTATCATCTGCTGACTTATGGCAAGCTCCATCTTCAACTGTTTTTGTGTGTGTATCTTCTGGAGCTGTTGGTTGAACAACAACCACCTCATCTTCTGGCAAACTGTCAAACATGCTCTGGTGGGTCATGATATACGCCTTTTTACAGTAAACCCGTTTATGGGCAACAAAATTTGGAAGAGCACGAAATAAACCACGACACACTCTGCATTCAAGTATGATATCACACTCATCAAGCAACAAGCATCTAACTTCTGGGGAGCCATAGTGAACACTATTCAAAATTTGCTCAATCATGCGACCGCCTAATTGAATAGATGTTCTTATCTGAGAAAAATCTATGTCAGCCACATTTTCTTCTCTTGTGTCATCTTCAGCCATTGTTTACTTGTTCACCTGAAAAATGAAATATGTCCATCAATCCTCTTTCAATTTATGTTTGCATAATAAACAAAACACTACCAAAATAAGATGTCTAAAGGAACACAAAATATAAACATTCTAGTTAAGTATATTTGTTGCAGAATTAAATTATTTATGTTCTTTCTTATTGGTAAGACTTTCAGTAGCTTTATTTCATAAATGACTGGTGTATTCTTGTTTAATAGAACATTTGATATTCCCTCATTCTGTGACATTAATTATAATCTTAAATGTCAAATTTGGTAATGACATTTAAGAATGTGAACATTTGAAAAAAATCACAAAATGTCCTACTGCCATATGCATTTCAGGGGATGTCTTGTTTAACAAACCCTTCCACTCGTAAATATTGCATATGTGCATAATGTAAACAAGAATCATCAGAAGATGACAAATCCCCCCTGGCCCCCACAAATATGAAAGAGTATATCATCTGACAGTTACTTAAAGTTCAACTTAATTTTTTGAGACTAAGTCCGAATCGTTTCCATGGAAATCATGAAAAATATAAATGCCAAAAATCTGTAAATAGCAAAAACGAGGGAAACTGGAAACGAAGCCCACCCCTCCCTCTTGAGACTTAAGTCAAAATCGTTTCCATAAAAACGAAGAAAAATAAAATTGACAAAACTCTGTAAATAGCAAAAGGCACCACTTAAGGTTCTGTTTGATATATCTGCCGCCAAGTTATGTTGAAAAATATTGAACGCTTTTGGAGTTATGCTCCGGGAACAAAATTATTACGGACGGACAGATGGACAAGGCGTTGACTATATCCCCCGCACTACTTGGGGGGGGGGGGGAAAGGAAGAACAATATGCATCTGTCAGTAACACTGAAAGTAGAGTGTTTCCTTTTGATGCTAGTACCTAAAAATGTGAATATGAGCAGAAAGAATTAACATTTCTGCAGAATTAACTTAAAAAGCATCATGAAGAGCTTATTAAAATCAAGTTCTCTCCAAGATAAGAAAGGTCCATATTTGAAAAGCCAAAGCTGTGAAATGTTTTTTTAAAAACTGAATGCTTTAAGATTTCCCTGTAAGATTCCTCAAATTTACAAATTTGAAGTGTACAAAACTAACCTACTTTCCCACTTATTTGCCATCCCTTCAAGTTGTTACATTATCAAAATTTCAACCTACTTTTTCTGAAACTTACAAATTAGGTACTGAATGTTCACATTAGATAATTATCATTTCATTAAGGGATAACTGAGACCTTTCATACAAAGTTTCAGTTCCACAGACCATGTAGTTTCAGGGGAAATGTAAAGACAGCATTATCATTATCCCCTGCCACAGGATTCATCAGAATTTTGCTTGCTCATATTGGGTTGAATAATATAGAAGTTATTGTTAAGTTTGAACAAGTATACAAGTAGTGTAAAAGAACAGGCAATAGTGCTGATAAGCCTGATGAAATGAAACAATAATATAAAATAAAATTAATAAGTGCACAAGGCCCCTTCTCAGGAAAAATACATTTTATGGCAGAATTTTATTTTTGACTCGGTCTTGTTAAGTATGTATGTATCTGATAATATTGCAAAGTTTTGTTCAGGTAATGTTAATAGTTTGAGAAAATTTGACCCTATGCAGAGTGAGTATCTGCTGATTAAAATAACAAACTGTAAAAACAGCACCAATCTTGACAAGGATCTCTTGGATAAGCATAGATAAACAGTCATCTACATGTAATTTCAGTAGTTTCTGAGAAACCTTGTGACCATAGCAGTATGCACAAAATTTAAAAGCATGGAGCATGGGGTTTATTCAGACGCCAATATTTTGACTTATTTGAGATCATGTCTTATAACCTCCCTGGCAGGAGATAACATGCAGCAACACTGGAAAAATGTGTATGTCGATATCTAAAAACAAGAGTCATCATACGATGACAATCCCCCCGGTCCCCCACATACTTGAAAGAACAGATGATCTGACAGTTACTTAAAAGTCAAACTTGATTTGACTAAGTCCAAATCGTTTCCATGGAAATCATGAATAAATGCCAAAAATCGGTAAAGAGCAAAAGCCACCACTTTGCTATCTGCCTGATATATCTGCCAAGTTTTGCTGAAAGATATTGAAAGGTTTTCGAGTTGTGCTCCGGAAATGAAGCCTACTCCTCCTTTTTGAGAATAAGTCTGAATCATTTCCATGGAAACTGGGAAATATATAAATGCCAAAAATCTGCAAATAGCAAAAGGCACCACTTTAGGTTTTGTTTGATAGATCTACCAAGTTTTGTTGAAAAATATTAAATTGTTTTTGAGTTAGGCTCTGGACACGGGGAATACAACCTTACTCATGACTGATAAAACCCCGTATTTCCCGAGACACGATGTGATAAATACTTGACATATGACCTTGATGAAATTATAAAGTGAAAACATTGATTATCATAGCAATTTATACCTCTGATGATGATGGGTGACATTGTGTTTGGGCGAGAGTTTTCTTGACCTTTGTTTTGAGGGGAAGACGTTTAGAATTCTGCACAATTTCTTTTGAGGACGATCTCTGTCATATGTCACGTCACTAAGTGAAGCAAACACTTTGAGAAAATCTTTTGGACCCGAACACTCTACCTCAAGCTAGTTTGCATGACAGCAGACTGACTGAACTATTGTATGACCACACAGTGACACAAATTGTAAATTTATCGTCATGCCTGAATGGGTAAAGAAGGTTTCTTTTTAGTTTAGATATGAAAATCACTGAAAAAATATGATACAATATGTCATGTTACATATGATTATGTATTTAAGTACCCATTTATAATCAATAAAAATAAAACAAACAAGATATAATATATTTTAAGGTAAAAATTTCATAAACTGGCACTTTATACACTCTTCAAGAAAAGCTTTGAATTTTAGGAAAATATTTGACACAAACCAATCCATGCTGAATCCAAACGTGGGGGGAATGGTTGCCGACGATAAAATGTTTGAAAAGAGAAATGTTGAACAAAAACATAATGTTACACTCACATCTGTAGTGAATCACTAAAACGCACCCTACATCAAATGCATGTGCATCATGAAATTGTGTATCACCTCGAGCTGAAGCCTATGACTGTAGGCTTTAAAAAGCCACATCAATGGTACTCCACATGCATTGCTTTAAGCCACTACAGACGACAAGAGAATGAAATGACTGACAGAAGCTCAATGGCAGGCAACGCAGCATGAGATGGCAAGGCACTTCAGCGTGTCAAGACAGACCATCTCAAACCTATGGACCCGATACAAAAATACTGGGAGTATTAATGGCAGACCCAGGTCAGGTCGACCTAGAGTTACCACCGCCGCCCAGGATCGCTACAACTGGTTCAGACATCTTTGTTCAACACCAAATCCCTGGACTGCGCCGAATCTCCGACCAGACAGTGCGCAACTGGCTATAGGAAGGCAGACTTTTTGTCAGAAGACCAGTTCAACGTCACGTCGTTCTCCTCATCAACGTCAACAGTTAATCTTTGGAGCATGACAATGCTCGACCTCATGTTGCACATATTTGACAGGACTTCCTCCAGCAAAACAATGTTCAGGTGTAGTGTTGGGAATCGGAAACCAAATCCACTATCGATTATCAGAGGATTGTGGTGAACGATTATCGATTATAATCGAAATATATATATTTTTTTACGAAATGTGAAGGGTTTTGCCAAGTTTTTTTCTAATAAATGTTCCTTATAACTAATATTTTTATGCAATGAAATGCATGCATGCAAGAAAGACACTGGAAATGTAATTAAACAATAAAAGTAGTTAAAATTTTACAATGTGCATAGCTTTACGCTGTTGAGTGCATGTTTGTTCATGAACATTCGTCGAATTTAATCGCTAGTTTACTACATTCAAGTGTTAAACTAAAACAACAAAATTCCAATTAATTGAAATATGATTTTTACAATCGATAATGATTTTTAATCCTTCTTTCAATCGATTTTTGATCATCGGAACATCACTATACAGGTGTTACCTTGGCCTTCTCGATCACCGAATTTGTCCCCCATTGAACATCTATGAGATACTCTTGATCGATGCTTGTGCCAGCGTAATTCGCCACCTCAGACACTACAAGAACTGCACACAGCACTTCAACAAGAGCATCAAAACATTCCTCAAGACAACATTCAGCATCTCCTTTCTTCTATGGGTCACCGCTGCCAAGCTGTTATCGATGCTCATGGTGGTCACACCAGATACTGATATTGTACTCTGACCAAGTGGATTTCTGGATAATCATGTTTTGGAAATTTGTAAAGTGATGATTTTACTGTAATGGGGAACATTCCTCAGTTATCTCCCTTTACCGCTTCGCCAATAGATGGCGCCAATCACTACGGTCCTAAGTGTACTTCCGGCATAATGATGGCTTTCAAAGTTTGTTGCACGGTCCATTTCAAATGTGCAGCAATATCACGATGCCTGAGACGTGCTGCCGTGCCTCGGGATGCTGCAATAGAGGTTCGACGTGTCCGGGAAGTCAAAACTTGCTGAAATGGTGGTTGACTATCATTCGAAGTAGCGATCATGAAACAATAGCATGACGAGGTAGCCGTCAGCTCTCGCTGGTCTCACTCTCAGCGTTGTGCCATTTCCGCTTCTGACAGAGCGATTTCGTTAATGTAACTAATTATGGTAAGTACCACGTATTTTATCTTTTACATATCTTTTACAGTTAGAAGAAAACATTGTTATTGTTATTCTATTTGCCAAACTTAGTTAATATGCATGCCAACCGAAATTACGAGCAGGGCTTTTGAGTTGATTCAGGGAAAAAGAATGTGTTGCTTCAAGAGGGACACATGCTGTACAAAACTTTTCACGTGAAACATTAGGGGCCTCTCACTGTAGTAATCATCAAAATTTACAGTACACAATCATTTCGCTTTACAAAGAGTGCAGCCCGAGGTGTCACCATCTGTAGAATGCTACTGATGTTATCGTCTGAAATCGGCACCCCAGTGAAGATTAGCTATAAACATCATAAAACAGTTTCTGTAGTAGTTAGGCTTTATTCATTGTTAACATTGTTTCAAAATTTTCCACCGTACTTGATCACAGCTATTGGATTCTAATTTCAGGTTAATCTATTGAATTTATTTTCAACCATATTTCAATTATTATATCTTAGCAAATAAAAGCATTCATCACTTGATATGGCCTGTTGGTTTTAACTGTTTGTCTTCTCTCATACATCACCTGGTCATGCATCTTAAATACAGTTGTCAGTTTGACACTGAGTTACATTGAGTAATGTACTTAAAATTCTAATGTACGTGATATTATTTTCACATATGCTTATATCTCCTGCTGACAGGTAGGTAGAGTAGGCAAGTAAATTGGAACAGACCCCAATTTATTATTTTCAATGTATCAAAGTAATTGGCATTTCACAAGTAAATTTTCATGTGAACCTGTGGGTTAACTTTCATTTGCTTCTTGCTTTTAAAAAGCAAGTTAGCATCATGATATGCATGTTTGCAAAGTTGTTTGTGTTTGACAATAACACCTTTGCTCCCTTCATTGTTGAATTAAAAGTTTACCAAGAATGCTAATACACAATTGAAAATTTTATTATAAATTGTATATTTATATACTTATCCTATCTCACGGCATGCACCTCTCCTCTTCTTCTACGACCATGTGTGGAAACGTGCTGTAGGCTAAGTTGAATCAAATCTTACTGGCCTCTGACCCGCCCTGACCTCTGCCCCCACTCCGACATCAGCACCTGTCAATCATCTCCGTAAGCGTGGAGCTCGCTCACATGATCATGTGACTACCTGTGCCTGTCATTCTCATCTTGGAGCTTCCAGTAATCTGTGATGTGAGGCAGGTCGGGTGGGTCCTATCGCATGAGATATACAATTATAATAAGATTTTCAAATTTTTAAACTTATCCTATCTCACGGTATGCATAATCCCACGGCTGGTAGGCTGGTCGCAGATTACCCCGTTACTACCACCAGGAAACACACATAACCCAAGGAGGCCAGGAGAAAGCACCAACTCCCGATATGCAAACTCCAACTTGAGATGGGTTTCTTCACGTAACCCCTTGGCTTACACAGCACAAAAACTCTAGGGAGTGGGCGCTTCCGAATTAATGTGGTTTTCGGCCGCAACTTTTGACAAGCAAAAGGACGCTGTTTGGCAAGTAGGCCCCGCCGCCCCGCGATTTATCAGGTGACCCCAGTGAATTAAAGTCGAGGACCTTAATCTGGCCAGTCCCTGCTTCGAAACTACACCCTACAGACACATGCTGGAAGGCGGTGAAAGAGGGAATAGTTCGGTTGCTCAAGGTTTAACGTTCAGTACCAATCTCCCTAACTTACCAAAGGTGAGAAAGGACTCAGGAGCAGAACGCTTCGAAAACCATGTAGGTAATCGGAAATCAACACTTCACTGACGTAATTCCTCAGAGAGTAGAGGTCAGTAAGCGGAGTGTCGATCATCTCTGCATGTAGCACAAGACTGGCCTCACAGTCTATCAAGTCATAACTTATGACAGTGCAGACACGCCCTATTCCCATAGAATGATCTAAGCCCAAGAGAAAAAAGTACCAAGACATGGATAACATCGATATCTTTTATTATGTACAAAGCAAAACCGACCAAGGAAGGATTGCTTTATCTGCGAACGCAGGCCGATGACAACTGCTGCGCCAGGACCAGGGGGACGAACTGATGTAGACCTTCCACGACTGTAACTGAGAGGTCCCTCAGGTAGTGTGAAGCAAACATCATATCTGATCGCCAAAAACAGCCCTCCATGATGGACTGCAGAGACCATTTCTGTGAAGAGCCATGGTGGAGGCAAGCGCTTGAGTCTCATGAGGCTTCGCCGTCGACGGTGGAGGTAGGTCAGCAAAGGCATAAGCACGCAGGATCGTAGTCCGCATCCAAAACGCCAAGGTAGTACGGGAGACTTCCGAGGTGGAGGCAGTAGACAATGGAATGAACAAACTCTTATGCAGTCTGCGGCGATCCTGTGAGGCAGCTAGGTAAATCCTTAATGCACGCACCGGGCATAAGGACAGATCCTCAGTGTCATCTGGGCCCAAGATATGGACAACGGCGGAATCGTCAATGTGCGATCCGGCTGTCCTGGTAACTGATTCTTGGCGAGAAAATCCCACCGCAAACCAAGGAAAACTTTCGCATGTCTAGACCTGTCAAACCGTACCTGAGAAACATCAACAGCATGCAACTCAGAAATACGAGCAGCCGTAGCCAAGACCAATAGAAAGAAGGTCTTAAAGGAGACATGTTCGAAATCTTTCTCCTCCAAAGGTTCATAATCAGCTGACGTGAGATGAGCAAGTACAACGGAAAGATCCCAAGCTGGAGGCCGGAACTTCCGAGATTGGTCAGCCAGTTTGTAAGACTGGAGGAGAGACTGGAGTTCAGGGACAGTGGACACCTTCACACCTGAGGCCGCTGCAATAACCGTGTTAAGAGCCGCCAGATAGGTAGATAGTGTAGAACCTTTGAGTTTTCTGGAGGTTCGGAGATGCTGAAGGTACTCTGCCACCATCTGCGGGGACGCCGTAGTGGGGGATGAGACACCCCTCTTCCTGCAATCACTTCGAAATTCTTCCATTTGTCATCGTAGAGTGACCTCGTAGAAGTACGATGCGCTGTAGTAATGGCAGTAGCCACACGCTTAGAATAGCCCTTAGCCATAAACGACCGATGTAGATGCGCCAAAAGTGCAGATGGAGCGTCATCGGGGACCAATGTAGCGGGTCGGAGTGCGGATGTACCAGTAGATCGGGCTGAATGGGAAGTGGCACGGGATCTGGTTCGGCTAGGTCTTGAAGGTTTACGAACCAGCTTCTGGCCGGCCAATAGGGTGCGACCAAAAGCAGAGTCATCCTTTGAGTTGCGCGCAGCTTCACTAATACGCGAGGAAGAAGGGCCACTGGTGGAAACGCGTAAGCGTTCAGGTCCTCCCATGGAATGGCGACAGCATCGAGGTCCCAAGCCAGATGCAATTTTCATTCCGTTGGAGAGGGACGACTCAGTCGGGACAGAGAATCTGCGATGACATTCTACACCCCCGGAATGTGGGTGGCTCGTACCAAGATGTGGAGTGAGTCCACCAGATCGAAGAGATGTTGGGTCCACTGCAGCAGTTGAGTAGATCCTGTGGACCCCATCCTGTTGATATGCCAAACCACCGCTGCGTTGTCCGACCGGATCATGAGGGAAGTTGCTCGTAGGACATCCTGCAAGTGACTGATTGCAAGCATCACCGCCCTGAACTCCAGAACGTTGATGTGACAGGCGCGATCGATGGGAGACCACCGCCCTGCCACTAGTTGATTGACAAGATGAGCTCCCCACCCGTCCTGGGTTGCGCCAGTGCCAGAGAAACCAATCGCTGAATCGTGCAGAAACGATCCCTCGGGACAAAGAGTTTGTTGACCTAAGTCGAACAGTGCTCCAATGAATTGAAGACGACGCGTAGGGGCTAGTTCCGATTTCTGCAGATTGATTAACCAGCCTAATTGGCGAAGAAGCTGTATCGCAAACTGCATGTGACGAAGCAAAAGGGCATGATCGGTCTGCGCCTGAATGCAGTCGTCGATGTAAACTTCGAACACTATCCCCTTGCGGTGAAGGAAACAGGTGATAGGCTTCGATACCCGTGTGAACAGCCACGGGGCCGAAGAAATTCCAAACCGGAGGACATGCCACTGATAGTGGGTGCCCTCGAAGACAAACTGAAGGAACTTGCAATGAGCCGGGAAGATCTGGAGATCCATACTGACCATGAAGTCTCCCGGCTTGATAATGGTCTTGAGGAGTGCCACCGATACCATGCGAAAATGGGGCGGAGGCTGCAGAAACCTCTCGTTGAAAATCTTCATGTTGAAAATTAACCTCAGTTTGTCCGAATCCTTCTTCGCGACCAGAAAGATTGGAGAATAGAACCCCGGGGCGGTCGGAGACGGACCCAGGGATTCGATCGCAAGTTTCTTGAGTAAGGTGTCTATTGTGGATCGCAGAACCGCCGTCTGTTGAGCGGGATACGTTCTGCGATCCGGAAGTAAAGTGAGAGGAGGATCCCCGATGAGTGGCAGCTGAA